CCATAAAAGAAATTACTGGTTTTAATAGAAGGATTCAGCAATCTGGCAGAGTAAAAGATAAACACACAATTACTTGGGTTCCTTTACACTGACAAGGAGAACTCTGAAGAGCAAAGCAAGAAAACAGTACCATTCATAATATCCTCCTAAAGGGTAAATTCATGGAAAAAGCCTAGCCATGCATGTAAAAGACCTATACAAGGAAAATTATAAACACTACTGCAAGAAACTAAGAGTCCTTCATAAATGGAAGGACATTCCCTGCTCATGGGTTGAAGGACTTAACATCGTGAACATATCTATACTACCCAAAATTATTATTGTTATGTGCCATCAAGTCTACTCCAACTCATAGTGACCTTATGTACAACAGAATGAAACACATTTTATCTGAATTATCTGTAGATATAATGCAATCCTGATCCAAATTTGAGCAACATTCTTTACTGAAATGGAAAACATATCACCAACTTTATGTGGAAAAGAAAGATGCTTATAATAGCCAAAGTAGGATTGAAAAAGAAGAAGAAAGTAGGAGACCTCACACATCCCAATCCCAAGAAACATATTATATAACCACAGTAATCGAAACAACCTAGCATAGGTCAGTAACAGACAAACAGAACAATGGACTAGAATTGAGAGCCCAGAAGAAAATCCATCCATCTATAGAAACGCATGATCATATCAATTGACGCAGAGAAGGCATTTGACAAAATTGAACACCTTTTTTTTTTTTTTTTAATCCAAAGGATCAGCAAGATAGGAATAGAAAGAACTTCCTCAACATAATTAAGGGCATATGCACAAACTAATGGCCAACATTATTCTCAATGGATAAAGACTGAAAACATTCCACTTGCAAATGGAACAAGACAAGGGTGCCTTTTATCACCACTAACCAGAGCAATAAAGTAACAAAGGGAAATAAAAGGAATCAAAGTTAGCAAAGAAGTAGAACTATCTCTATTTGCAGATGATATGATCTTGTTGTTGTTGTTGTTGTTGTTGTTGTTATGTGCCGTCGAGTCAACCCCGACTCATAGCAACCCCTCCTTGGGTTTCCGAGGTAGTATCACTATGGAAGGAGCTCTGGTAGCATAGTGGCTAAAGCACTTGACTGCTAACCAGAAGGCTGGCGGTTCAAACCCACCAGCCACTCCTCGGAAGGAAGGTTGGGCAATCCTACTTCCGTAGTGATACTGCCTCGGAAACCCAAGGAGGGGTCGCTATGAGTCGGGGCCGACTCGACGGCACATAACAACAACAACAACATCACTATGGAAGTAGGATTGCCCAACCTTCCTTCCGAGGAGTGGCTGGTGGGTTTGAACCGCCAGCCTTCTGGTTAGCAGTCAAGTGCTTTAGCCACTATGCTACCAGAGCTCCCGATATGATCCTATACATATAAAATCCTAGAGACTCAACAAGAAAACTACTGGAACTGATAGAAGGATTCAGGAAAGTGGCAGGATATAAAATTAACAGAAAGAAAATAAGTAGGATTATTCTATACTAAGAAAGATATCTCTGAAAAAGAAATCAGGAAAACAATACCATTTACTGTAGCCACCCAAAAGATGACGTACTTAGGCATAAATCTAACCAGAGAAACAAAAGACCTATACAAACAAAACTACAAAACACTGCTACAAGAAACCAAAAGAGACGTACATGAATGGAAGAAGATACCATACTCATGGGTAGGAAGACATAACATTGTGAAAATTACAGTATTTCCCAAAATGATAGTCAGATATAATGCAATCTCTATCCAGATTCTAATATCATTTTAAAAGAGACAGAAAAACTTATCACCAATTTTACGTAGAAAGGAAAGAAAAACTGGGAAAGCAAAGCACTACTAAAGAAGATGAACAAAGTATGACATCTCACACTCACCAATCTCAAAACCTCACAGTAACCAAAACAGCCTGATATTGGTTCAAAGACAGACACACAAATCAATGGAACAGAATTAAGAACCCAGAAGTTAATCTATCCACCTATGTATGACTGATCTTTGAAAAAATGGCTGAATCCCATTAAATGAAGAAGAGATAGATAGCCTCTTTAACAAACAATGCTAGCAAAACTGGATACCTATTTGCAAAAAAAGAATGAAAGAAATAGGATCCATCTTTCTCACCATATACAAAAATGAACTCAAGATGGATCAAACACCTTAAGTATAAAACCTAAAACCACAAAGATCATCAAAGAAAAACTAGTGGCAAACTTAGGGCCCCTGGTACATGGCATAAATACACATACAAACAGCAAAAGACAAACTAGAAAACTGGGACCTCCTAAAAATTAAACATGTGTATGCATGAAAAGACTTCACCAAAAGAGTAAAAAGAGAACCTACAGACTTGGAAAACAATTTTGATGACATATTGAACAAAGCATTAACCTCTAAAATTTATAGATAACTTCAACACCTCAACAACAAAAATACAAATTCCATTAACAAATGGCCAGAAGACATGAACAGACACTTTACCAAAGAAGACATTCATGTGGCTAACACATGAATAAAACTCATAATCAATAGCCATTAAACCCATCAATTCCAACTTATTAAACCCTGTCAATTCCACCTTACAACAATCTTATGGGACAGAATAGAACTGCACCATAAGAGGTTTCCAAGGCTGTAAATCTTTATGGAAGCAGCCTGCCTCTTCTTTCTCCTGCAGAGTGGCTGGTGGGTTTAAAGCACTCACCTTTTGATTAACAGCCAAATGGCTCAATCATTGTGCCATAAGAGCTCCCATTAACCACAGTTGTTGTTGTTGTTGTTATGTGCCGTCAAGTCAGACCTGACTCATAGTGACCACTTCTTGGGTTTCTGAGGTGATATCACTACAGAAGCAGATTGCCCAACCTTCCTTTTGAGGAGTGGCTGATGGATTTGAACCACCAGCCTTCTGATTAGCAGTGAAGTGCCTTAGACACTATGCTACCAGAGCTCCTCCATTAACCACTATTGTAGTTGTTGTCCACTAGAGAGATACAAATAAAAACAACAATGAAATATCATCTCACCCTAGCATGAATAGTAAAAACAGAAAACTACAAATGCTGGTGAGGGTATAGAGAGACTAGAACACTGCAAGTAGGATTGTAAAATGGTACAACCACTGTGGAAAGTGGTATGGTACATCCTAAAAAAGTTGTAATACCATATGATCCAGCAATCCCACTACTAGGGATATATTCTAGAGAAATAAGAGCTATGACATGAACAGATATATGCACAACCATGTTCATCACAACATTATTCATTATAGCAAAAAGATGAAAACAACCTAACTGCCCATCAACAGATGAATGGATAAATAAACTATGATAAATACACACAATGGAACATAAAGAGTAACTATGAATCTGTGAAACACTTCACAACATTGATGAACCTAGCAGACATGCTCAGTGAAATCAGTCAATCACATGAGGACAAATGTTGTATGAGACCACTACCATCAAAAGTCAAGAAAAGGTTTACACATAGAAAGAATCATTCTTTGAAAGTGGAAGGTGGAAGGTGAGGGAAGGTGGAAGGTGGAAGGTGAAGGAAGGATAAGTAACTAGAGGGTAGATGCAACTTAAGTTGAGTGAAAGGAAAGACAGTATACAGTAAGAGGGAGGTCAGCACAAAATGATCAAACCAGAGGAACACACAGGGAAGAACACAAGAGTTAAAGGCAACAGAAGTAAATGCTAATACATATATACAACCCTGTAATAACAGTAATAACGATAATCTATAAGTGGATACATAGACACTCAAGCTGAACAGGGGTGGAAAGGTTAATGGGACTATACCCACAAATATATACAGGCTTGACAGAGGATATTCTATACATATATTTACATATGCTACAAACATATCCCAGAATATAGTAGAGCATACAGGGGATAAAGTTATGAAAATGTCTTTATCATAAACACCCTGAGGGAGTGAGTTGCTGGCCATGAGGGCTCAGAGCCATAATGTCAGGGGACGCTAAGGTCAACTGGCATAACATAGTCTACAAAGACAATGTTATACACACTACTTTGGTGAGTAAAGACTGCAGTCTTAAAAGTTTGTGAGTGGTCATCTAAGGTGCTATTAGTCTCTCCACATAAAAGCAAAGAAGAGTGAAGAAAATGAAATATGCAAGGAAACAATTAGTCCAAAGGATTAATGGACCACATGAACCCCAATCTCCACAATTCTAAGACCAGAAAAACTAGATAGTACCCAGCTACCACTGCTGACTTCTCTGAGAGGAATCATAATAGGAGGTCCTGTAGAGAGTGGGATAAAAATGTGGAATAAATTAAAAACCATAAAAAAGATAAGGCTTACTGGTCTGATAAAGACTGGTGGAAGCCCCGAGACTATGACCCTTAGAGTCCCTTCAAGCTAGGAATGGAACTCATCCCCATAACTCAACTTCCAGCCAAAGAATAGACAGGTATATAAGATGAATAAACAATGAGGTATATGCTAAATATCTGCTATTTTTCTGGGAAGGTGACTATGTGACTAGCCCCCGTGAAAACTAGGGCACTGAGCCTCTACTGAGCTCCCTTTGCAGTCAGTATTCCCCATGTGTTGTCAAAATTATATGCTGAATGAATTAAGTATATTCTGTTTGATTCCACTGGAAATTCTTGGTAGTTTATGTATGATTTCCTCTACTTTGTCCTATACTCCTTGACCCTTTGCTGATTCTGTTGTGTGTCACTTCACTGAATAAATCCTACCCATGAGACAACCAGATACTGAGCACTGTGGGTCATTTAACGAGTATCTGAACCTAAGACTTCCAATGTATGTGGAAAACCATTCTGTTTACCCAGAACTGAAGAGATTTCCTGATTAACATGCAGAATTAACAGAGAACCCAAGGGACTGGTTCATCCTGGTGAAGATCAGTGCTTGAGGCACAAACTAGCTGTTAATCAAGCAGATCCTTGAATACCATTCTTTTGTGTTTCCTTAGGTGCCCAAGAGTAAAGCTGAGGAGGCAACCAAATTAGCTATTGATGCTGGGTTTCGTCATATCGATTCAGCTTACGTGTACAAAAATGAAGAGGAAGTTGGACGAGCCATCCGAAGCAAGATTGCTGATGGGGTTGTGAAGAGAGAAGACATATTTTACACTTCAAAGGTACTGTGTATATGGCATGTGTGCATATTTGTGAAATTAATTCTGAAAATCAGATATATGTCTGGTTGAGTAATTTGATGAGTTATATTTAATCATACAACTTTTATTTGTGTACTAAAACTAGTATCAAAAAAGACAGAGATGATGACTTTTTGATCATTGCTATGCTCAAAGCACTTAAAGATCAATACCCAGTCATTAGTGAGCTAAAATGGAATGGTATTGACCATTTTGAATTGGACATACAGAAATCAAATAGACTGCATCTGTGGAAAGAGGCCATGGAGAAGCTCAATATCATCAGTCAGAACAAGGCCAGAACCTAAGTGTGAACAGACCATCAATTTCTCAGATTCAATTTCATGTTGAAACTGAAGAAAATTGAAACAAGTCCATGAAAGCCAAAATATGACCTTGATTATATCCCACCTGAATTTAGAAACCATCTGAAGAATAGATTTGATTTATTGAACACCAATGACCAAATGAGTTGTGGGATGACATCAAGAACAACCTACATGGAGAAAGCAAAAGGTCATTAAAAAGACAGAAAAGACCAAAAAAATGGATGTCAGAAGAGTCTCAAACTTGCTCTTGAAATGACAGTAGCTAAAACAAATGGAAGAAATGACAAAAGAAAAGAGCTGAACATAAGATTTCAAAGGACGCCTCAAAAAGACCAAGTATCATAATGAAATGTGCAAAGAGCTGGAGTAAGAAAATGAAAAGGGAAGAACATACTTGGCATTTCTCAAGCTGAGAGAACTGAAGGAAAATTCAAGCCTCAAGTTGCAATATTGAAGGATTCTATTGGGCAAAAAAATTAATTTTTATGGTAATTTGAGTAAAACTTTATACAGCAAACTCATTTTCCATGCAGCAGTTCATACACATTTTGTTTCATAACATTAACTGCAATTTCCCACAATGTAACAGGTCTCCTCCCACTTCCTCCCTGTAGTTGCCTCTTCCCTGTGTCCTTCCCTCCCATGTACTCTCACCCCCAAGCTGTCTCCCTGTGCAAACACTGCCCTTCTGTTCTCCCATGATTGATCTCTCCAAGAAGTGTATCTATCTGATATAAATCTTCACCCCATATGCCTGTCTATTGTTTGGCTGCAAGCCACAGGAGTGAGTTTAGTTCAAGACCTGAAGAGTAAACTAGGGATCATAGTCTCAGGGGTCTCACCAGGCTCTGTCAGACCAGCTAACCTGGTCATTTTTTTTATCATTTTGAGTTTTGTTCCACATTGTTCTCCCACTCTGTCCAGGATCTCCTGAAGTGATTCCCCTCCAAGTGGTTGACAGTGATAGCCAGGTACCATCTATTCTTCTAGTCTCCTGGTCATACAGGCTGAGGATTGCATAGTCTACCAGTCCCTTGGACTAATTGTTTCCATGCATTTTGGTTTTCTTCATTCTTCTTTGCTCTGGACCAGGAACGACCCATCATTGCATCTAGATGGCAACTTCCAAGTTTTTAAGACCCTCGTCTCTACTCACCAAAGTATGGTCTAAAACAATGTTTTGTGTAGTACGTTATGCCAGGTGAGCTTGATGTCCCCTGCAACCACAGTCCTGAGCCCACAGGTCCAACTACTCATTCCCTCAGGGTAACTGGGTGTGGCCGGCCACCACAACCTTGCCCCTTATCAGCTCTACTATCACCTGGACATTTTTACAGCTCATACAAATAGGCATGTAGAAACATTGTCTGATAACCCTATACATGGTCATGGACACACTCCTCCCTGCATAGACATACCTGATGGTTCAGCCCATCTACCCATCTATCCACCCATAGATCAATGCTTGTCTATGGACAAAATATTGAATGATGCAGGAAGCATCAAAAGTCTTCTTGGGAGGAATAAACATTGTCACTGTACCAAAAAGAATTGGTCAATGTTCAGTCATTTCAGGAGGTAGCATATGATCAAGAACTGATGGTATTGAAGGAAGAAGTCCAAGCTGCACTGAAGGAACTCATGAAAACTAAGTTCCAGGAATTGACAGAATACCTATTGAAATGTTGCAACAAATGGATCCAGCACTGGAGGCACTCACTCATTTATGTCAAGAAATTTGGAAAACTACCTAGCCAAGCAACTGGAAGAGATCCATATTTGTGCCTATTCCAAAGAAGGGTAATCTAACAATGTGGAAATTATCAACCCATATCATTAACATCATATGTAAGTAAACTTTTACTGAAAATAATTGAAAAAGGTTGCAGTAGTATATTGACAAGGAACTGCCAGAAATTCAAGCTAGAATCAGAAGAGGATGTAGATCAAGGCATGTCATCACTGATGCCAGGTGGATCTTGCGTGAAAGCAAAGAATACCAGAAAGATGTTTACTTGTGTTTAATTGACTACACAAAGGCTTTAAAGTGTGTGGATCATAACAACTAAAGGTTAACACTATGAAGAAAGGGACTTCCAGAATACTTAATTGTGCTTATGAGGAACCTGTATATAGACCAAGAGGCAGTTGTTCAGACAGAACAAGGGGATACTGTGTGGTTTAAAATCAGAAAAGGTGTGCATCAGGGTAGTATCTTTTCACCATATTTATTCAATCTGTCTGATGACTCTTAGCCTAGGTTCTCTAGAGAAGCAAAACCAGTAAAGCTTACATAGAAAGAGAGGGAGAAAAAAATCTTTCTCTCAGGGAAATGGCTCATACAGTTTAGAGGCTGTCAAGTCCCAAGTACATGAGTCAAACGTCAGGCTGGAGGGTCTTCCTCACTCACACTGTTGCACGGGCTGATGAACCCAAGATGGGCAGGCAGTATAGCATGCTGTTGTCTTCAGCACATGATAAATCCAAGATCAGCAAGTGAAATGGCGGATTGTTGGCTCATAGGCCATGAGGCAACAAGTCCAAGACTGGCAGGCAATATGGCTGCCAAAACCAGATGGTAGCTAGATGCAGAATCCAGATCCAACAGAAAACCCAAAAAATTTCCCAGGATGTCCATATGTATATATTGAAAGCAGGCCACACCCCTGAGGAAACTCCCTTTCAATTGATTGGCTATTCACAGCATATCCCACCATGGAAATGACTACCTTACATCAGATTTCATCATGGGAACAACCACATCACAGCTGCTTAAACCACTCAGAATCTTGGTCCAACCAAGTTGACAACCTTAACTATTACGATGATCAAAAATCTGGGAAGCTGGACTATATGAGGATCATGGCATCAGAATTGGAGGAAGACTCATTAACAACCTGTGGCATGCAGATGACACAATCTTACTTGCTGAAAACGAAGAGGACTTGAAGCACTTACTGATGAAGGTCAGGCCTTCAGTATGGATTACACCTCAACACAAAGGGAAACAAATCCTCACAACTGGACCAATAAGCAACATGATGATAAAATGGAGAAAAGATTGAAGTTGTCAAGAATTTCACTTTACTTGGATCCACAATTAATGTAAGTAGCACTCAAGAATTCAAACAAATATTGCACTGGGCAAATCTGTGATAAGAGACCTTTTTAAAATATTAAAGATCAACGATATTACTTTGAAGACTAAGGCATGACTAACCCAAGCCATGGTATTTTCAATAGCCTCTGCATGTAAGAGCTGAACAATGAGTAAGGAAGAATGCAGAAGAATTGATGCATTTGGATTATGGTGTTTCCAAAGAATGTTGAATGTACCATGGACTGCTAGAACCAACAAACTTGTCTTAAAGAAAATACAGTCAAAATTCTCCTTAGAAGCAAGAATGACAAGGCTTCATCTCTCATACTATGGTCATGTTTTGAAAAGTGACCAGTCCCTAGAGAAGGATATCATGCTTGATAAACTAGAGGTTCAGCAATAAAAGTGAAGACCTTCAATGAGATGGGTTGACATAGAGGTTGCAACAATGGGCTCAAGCAAGGCAATGATTGTGAGGATGACACGGGACCACACAGTGTTTCCTTCTGTTTAAAAGGGTCTCTGTGAGTAGAAACTGACTTGATGGCACCTATTAAGAACAACATTTGGTATAAAACAAGAGACTGCAGCACATATTAACACGTTCAAAACATTTTTCCCTTCCAGTTATTTACACAGAGGAGACAGCAATTCTCTCATAGAATTGAATTAAAGGGAGAATTAGACAAAGCTAGTGGAATTGCTTTGTATATTCTATTAAACATAACTCAAATGATGGCCCTAATTTTTACTTCATAACAATTTCCATCTCGAGATACTTCCTTCTATTGTTCAGTAGGTAAACTGACAAAACACTAAAACTCGTAATAGCATTTATGTGGATAGATCAGATGCAAAGGAAAGCTAAGAAGAAAAGGAGGTTTTTGCCCTTGTGGTCATCACATTTTCAACTAATAGAAAAATATCTAAACATTAGGAGAAGCAAACCAATAACTTTCCAGCAGTTGAGCATTAAAGTCCCTGCAAAATGGGTGAGGGCCACTTCTTTGTCTATTACCTGTAAAGGACCCCTCCCAGCACTATTTTTCATTGTTCTCTACTCTAGACAATACAAGCAAGAAATCCAATTCCTTTCATCTGGTTCCATAGGGCAGGGTTTCCATTTCTTTTCAATATGCTGATCATTTTTCCCTATTTCTTTGCAAAATGAAACCCATGTAATTTCACATATGTTAATAAAAGACTACGATTCTGAATAAAACCTAAAGATTAATTCTTTTCCCACAGATTATTGTCTAGTTCACATTTGTTCTGTCTACATCAATGACCCAAGTTTAGCTTAAAATCAGTGTTGGCAAACAAATTTCAGCTTTGAATTTGCTGAAGAAGTCACAAACCATATGTCATCTTTTTCTATATCTCTTCATTAAATTGCCTCAGTATTAATGAAACATAATTTCCATGATTAATCTCTGCAGCTTTGGATAACTTTCCTACGACCAGATTTGGTTCGGCCAGCGTTGGAAAAGTCACTGAAAAAACTTCAGCTGCACTATGTTGATCTCTACCTTATCCATTTGCCAATTGCTCTGAAGGTTAGCAGTTTGTATAATTAAACCTATTTCACTTCCACTATCAGTTGTACCATCATCTGGCAGGGATGGTTGGACTAAGTTTTTTTTTAGGAGGCATGTGGATTATTATACTGGGGAATGATCCTAAAAAATTATTCATGATTCTAGATTGACCCTGTTTAGTTAGTTGTTTAGTTAGTTGTTTGTTAGTTGACCCTGTTAGTTCATGTGCCTATCTTTGGACCATTATGTGTTTTGAGGGATAAGGAACTCTGACTGTATAGTTATAGCGCAGTCTGGGTTTTTATCAGAATCCATGGTTGCCGGAAACTAAGGCCATGTGACTCATTCCCTTTCTAGGTAAAAGAGAAGCATTTGATAAAAATAAATAAACTGGGCAGACAAAAGTAACATAAATCAAGTATGAGTCCATATTAGTATAGAAAAGAGTGCAACAGATGTAAAGGATTATAGGAAGACTGTGTCTCAAGAGATATTCCTTACAAATCCATACACAAAACACTGCAAAAATTAGCATCTGGAGAGTTTCTCCACCTACCTCATGGAGGCTTAGCATTCAAGTCTAAGATGTACCTCACCCCACAGCTAACAGGGGAGACAGTATTATGTGACATCACTCTAATGACTGCTTCTATTCCAGCCAGGGGAGGAGATACTTCCAAAAGATGAACATGGAAAATTAATGTTTGACACAGTCGATCTCTGTGCCACATGGGAGGTGAGTGCTTGAAGGAGACAGTAAAGAGAGGAAGCCAGGAGATGGGAACCTAGTTCATATCTTGCACCTGTGTAAACTTCAGAAAGCCTGAACATGGCCTTCAATCTCATTTTCTCATATTTAAAATCAGAGATTGTACAAATGATCTTAAACTTCTCTTGGAAGTCTATAATTCTACTTGTTCTTTAAATAGCACTTCACTGATAACAGAGTGGGCACTTTAGAGGCATAGTACCTAAGGCATTTGAGTGGTAACCAAAAGGCTGGTGGTTCAAACCCACCAGCCACTCCTTGGAAGGAAGATTGGGCAATCTACTTCCATACAGGTACCACCTCAGAAACCCAAGGAGGGGTCGCTATGAGTTAAATCAACTTAATAGCAGGGAGTGAGTAAGTGAGTAATAACAGTGTATGACTGTATTCCTCAAAAGAAGCTGACACAATCTCAAGGTTATTGGTATAGTAAGCCAGTAAAAGTACTCCTGGAATTTTGAAAGGAAAAAAATTTTCTATCTGGTCTTGAAAGACACAGGAAATTGGATGCCACATTTAAAGTTATATCAATACAATTATGTGTTGCTAAGAGTAATGTGTGTGTGACTCATTCCAAATTTCAGAAAAGTATAGATATTGGGAACATCAGTACAATCCTAACTCCAGCCTAGACCACCCCTGGAAATGAGAGTAGGATATTTGTAACTTTCATGGACTTTCTCATAGGCTTTAGAGGCCTGAAATTAGATTTTCTTTTGTTTAGTAAATATCATATCTGGAATAGCTATTACCAAAATCTTGGTAGCAGAATCATCTCTGGAACATTATTCCATTAGTAAGTTTAAGCAACCAGGACATGTTATGTTAATTATTTACTATAAATACTTCACTCTCCCTCTAGTGCCTCATGCTCTGCATCTGGGAAATAAGTCTCTTTATCTCTCATGGCAGGAAATGTGGAAGATCTTCCACATAGGTTTCCTCATTGCTCAGGCTACCTGCCTGGTGCCTGACTTGCAGTTCAGTGTGCTGTGTGTTGAGCTACTATATGTTGAACATTTCACCAGCTATTTCTTCGCAGAATCCAGCTGAAGACATGCTGACAGTTTTGCTATATTCTATGTTATGTAGACTTAAAGTTATGATATCTACCTATTCATAAAAAAAATTATCAAGAAGTGATTGTAAGGGAGGGAGCATAGTAAAACAAAAGTACCTGCTCTTGAGACTTCCAGTAAGATGGCAGAATAGGCAACAAGCTACACAGACCCTCTTCAACAAAGAAAAGTGAAACCAGTTGACAGAGATACAGAAGATAACCCTGGAGCCCTGAGCTTTCAAAAGAAGTATACAGAAGTGAATTAGGCACCAACTAGTAGAAAAAATCTGATGAAAACAGTGAGTATGGAGAGACAGACTGAGCTGTGGACTGTCAGCTACTCTGATGGCATCAACAGCCTGAATATTTCTAAGTGGTGCTGGGACCTAAGAATTGACCTAAAGATGACCCTGGTCACCAAGGGCCACAGGGATGACTGTACTGGTGGCCTATGACTAGGAAGGAAGACAGCAAGGAGGAAGACAACCTGATTGTGGACATTTGGCTGTCTAGAGGGTGCAGTCATTTTGATTATTTACAAGTGGCAGCCAATTTTGATATTTAAAGTGACTGAGGGTAAAGCCATTTCTAATGTTTACAAGTGGTGGCCATTTTGGAAATTTAAAGTGACAGCATTCTCATTCAGATTCCAGGGACCTTAGAATAGGATCCATTTGCCAAGGACAGCAGGGACATACAGGAGAGGGACAATTGTAAAGGACACAGGTGGTGAGTGTATAAGTGCCACCAACAAGCGAACAGAGGACCAGAGTACCCTGCTTACGCAGATAACATCCAAAGAAAACAAAAATCATGGGCAAGTCACTCCAACATACAATCACCAATTAAATATAAACACAAAAATGCCACAATGTCTCAGAGACAACAGACTGTTACAATCTACACAAACAAGCAAGATAAAGCAAGTGAAACAAGGGAGCAGGATACAGACCCAGAACACATCCCTGAAGAAGCAGGAGCATTAGAACTCCCTGATAAGAAATTCAAAAGAATTATATTTAGGTACCTTCAACGGATTGAGAGACAGATCAAGGAAAACACTGACAAAATTGAGGAAAACACAGACAAAACCCTGGAACAATTTTAAAAGACAAGACAAGAACAAATAACAAAATAAATGAAAAATTAGAAATGACACAAAATCTACAGATAGAAATCCAGAAAATTAATGCTAAATTTTCAGAAACGGATAACACATTGAATGGGTAAAGGAGTAGAACCGAATCAATGGAAGACAGAACTAGTGAGATTGAAGACAAATACTTCAATACCTCTTTGGAAAGGGATCAATCAGAGAAAGATCAAAACAAAATAAAGACAGACCAAGGATCATGTGGATACCATCAAAAAGAATAATGTACATACAATCAGAATTCCAGAATAGGAAAAGGCAAATAAAACCAGAGAGAAAAATGTTGAAGCTGTCTTCCGAGAAGAGAATTTCCCTGGTATGATGAAAGATGAGAATACATCCTTTCAAGAAGTCCAACGAACCCCAAACAGGATAGACTCCCAAAGAAAATCACCAAGACACATTCATCATTGAGATCCGGCAAGATGGCGGACTAGGCAGAAAGACTGCACAGACCCTCTTCAACAAAGAACAGGGAAAACAATTAAAACAGACACAGAAGATAATCCTGGACCCCTGAACCTTGAAGGGAAAGATATAGAAGTGGACTAAACCCCAAATAGCAGAATAATTTGCGTGAAAATACCAAAAAAGGAGACAGATGGAGCTGCGGTCTGGCAGCGATTCTGAGTGATCCTGACAGCACAAACAGCTTGGAGATTCCCAAGTCGTGGTAGGACCTAAGAATTAACCTAAAAATCACCCTGCTAGCCAGGGACTGCATGGAGGACTGTGCACAGTGGCTGGGGAACAAACGAAGGTGAAGAGAAAGGTGGGCTGAGCTGTGGACTTTTGCCGATCCAGAGGGCGCCGCCATTTTGAAGGTTTAAATAGCTGCTTGACTATTTTGGATATTTAAAGAGACAGTGCTCTGGCAGATTCCTGGGGCTTAAGAACACATTCTGCTTTCCAGCAACTCCAAGGACACTCGGGACCTGCAAGACTGACAAGGTATGACATTCTTCTTGTTAATCTTAGTGAATGGAGGTGCGGCCATCCTCCACCCCCACCTACCTTCTGGGCCCACAGGAACTCCATCACAGTCTGTGTGTTCAGATGGAGCCTG